TAGTACACATCAACAATTTGAACTCGATTTTATCCAGACTTGGGTCAGTGGGAACAAAATTTGAGGACGAAGTTCAAGCTTTACTACTGTTATCATCATTACCTGACAGTTGGTCCGGAACAGTTACAGCCGTTACTAGTTCCGCAGGATCGAAAGAGCTCACTTTTGAGGGAATTCGGGATTTAATTCTAGGCGAAGACGTCAGACGAAGAAATTCCGGGGAATCATCAAGTGAACAATTGAATGCGGTGAGAGGTAGAAGAAATAACATAGGTAGTGGGAGCGGGAACAGGAGAAGGAGTCAGTCGAGGACTCGAAATGATGTGACTTGTTGGAACTGTAAAGAGGTTGGACATTTCAGGAATCAATGTCCAAAAGACAAGAAAGAAGTTAACGTTGCAGTAGACCATTCAGATGATGATGTTTTGATCTGTAGTGTGGAGAGCAATGTGGATTCCTGGGTTATGGATTCGGGTGCTTCATTTCACGCTACCCACAGCCGTGAAGCACTGCGGAATCTGAAAGAAGGGGATTTTGGTAAGGTAAGACTGTCGAACGATGAGGTTCTTGATGTGACGAGCATAGGTGACTTAGATCTGAAGACTCCAGTCGGTCCATGGACTTTGAAGGATGTCCGGGTAATTCCAAGTCTGAAGAAACAGTTGATTTCTGTTGGGCAGTTGGATGAACAGGGACACGAGGTTAAGTTCAGGAATGGGCAGTGGAAGGTTGTCAAAAGAAATCTTGTGATAGCTCATGGACATAAGAGGGGTTCATTATATATGGTCAGTTTACCGTCTGAGGGAGTAACCGTCCCAGTTCAGAAGAAAAACAAAATCCGGTTCATAGAGTCTCGTGGACAGAAGAAGATTTGCTTTGCAGATGGCAAACCCAGAGTCACAGGTCAGATTCAGGTTGAACGTGTTTGGAACGGTTCAGAAAAACCAGTCAAGGGCATTCATAGCAGTGGGAGCATGGGCTTTGTTTCAGCTAGAATACCCAGAACACAGTGGGTTAAGAGAACCAGTATTCCATCTGTAAAAGTCTCTCCAGATTATCTGCTTCACATGGAGAGTGTCGTTTGTTCTCAGGATGTTCTAGGATCGGGCAGTTCATTTCAGTGGGAGCCGGTGGAGACAGAGAACAGGTCAGTGGCAGACTTTGCCATGACTGATGCGTTGGAGCTAACGAAAGCTTCAACTGGCCTTCAGGTTAATTGAAGAGAAGGCCAGGGTAACTAGGAAGGAGTTAAGATCAAATACAGATGCACAGTTGAAGCACAGGTGAAGATTGTTCCGTGGCTTCAAGTGGGAGATTGTTGAGTATGAATCCACAGAAATGTTGAGTGTGAATCCACAGAAATGTTGAGTGTGAATCCACAGAAAAGCTGGTCAAAAATGGCAGGAACAATGTGAAGTTGTGAAGCCACAATTGTTGAATGAAGACCCAGTTGTGTTTTTTGACTACTTCTGATTTCCATCTCTATATAAGAGATTATTCTGTATTTGTAAAACTTGTATCTAGTGTAACAAAGAAAGAGTGCAGATTAGCACCAAGAAATGTAAATTCCTAGTTACCGGTGGACGTAGGTCAGAGAAGGACCGAACCACGTTAAATCCCTCATGTTCATCCTTGTGTTCTTGTTTTTCGTGAGCTGTGTGTGTGTTTAGAGTCGTGTGTTAAGTGTCTCGATCCTAACAATATATATATATATATATATATATATATATATATATATATATATATATATATATATATATATATATATATATATATATACTTATGAATATGCATATTAATATCCATATGCACATACTTATTTATATGCATATACACATACTTATTTATATGCATATACACACACTTATTCTTATACATATGAATATACATATACATATACTTATTCATAAGTATGTATATACTTATTCATATGCGTATGTATACACTTATTCATATGCATATGCATATACTTATTCTTATACATATGTATACACTTATTCATATGCATATGCATATATTTATTCTTAAGCATATGTCATATTATACATATGCACATGAATTTTGCAAATATTTATACTTATGCACATACATATGCATATATATAAGCATAATCATATTTATTTAACTGGCATATGCATATACTTATGCTTATGCATATGTATATACTTATTCATATATATATACATATACTTATGAATATGCATATAGTTATAAATATGCAAGTCATATACTTAGCGTTATGCATACACATATAATTATTCATATGCATACACATATACTTATTCATATGCATATACATATACTTATTCTTATGCATATGCATACGCATATACTTCTGAATATGCATATAGTTATTCATATGCATACACATATACTTACGAATATGCATATTTCATATGCTTATTCTTATTCTTATGCACATATGTGCATATGCATATATTCATAAGCATATGCATATGTTTATTCATATGTATATGCATATGCTTATTCTTATGCATGTAGAGACATTAAAAATGTTTTTTTTAAATGTGCATGTACATATGCACATATACTTTTAAAATGTGCATATACATAAAAAAATATGAATATGCATTAAAAATGCATTCTTCTAAAAAAAAATTTAATATTAATTTCAAAATATAAGGAACATTTCTGTTACTTGTAACAAAAAAATTACTTTTTCCAAATCCGCGAAATTATTCCTTATATTTTGCAATTAATATTTAAAAAAGAAATTTTCAAAAAATACATATTTGGTGCATATTCATATTATTTGATGCATATGCACATTTTTAAAAAACATGTGCATATGTACATACATATATTTTTTTCATTTTTTTTCAAGTCTCTTACATATGGATATATACATGCACAAGTGAAATTTGGTACGAAAATTAATTGTAGATAAAAAGTTTGTTGGTTCATTCTTTCAATTTTGCCAAAACTAGATCTTAAGGTGTTATTTGGTCGGGTTTTTTTTTTTTGGTTCAGTTTATTCAGTTTTTTGACATCAAAATATCATCTAAAACCAATGTGAATGAAGAAACAAAGTAAAGAATGATATACACGTATTTATAGAATGATAAACTAATTCTAAGATACAACTGAGATACAAATCATGAAATGAAAAAATGCTAAACAATAGAACAAACATAAACTTATGAGATACAGTGACAAAATGATAAACGAATTCTAAGACAAAATGACATATTGCTAAACAATAAAACAAAAATAATATGACGAGATATAATGATAGAATGATAAAACTATTTCTGAGATACTTGGTTTTTGACAACATCACAAGTGTCACTTAAATAACCAACATCATAAGTACTATAGTACACAATATTGGAACAATGCTTAACCAGGAGAATATTAGGGGTAATAATGACCATACCAAACAAAATTCTCATATTAATATAGAATCTTAGATAACTAATTTATTATAGGACTCATTAATACTCAAAAACCTACAATCCACATCACAATTACACCAAACTACCATTATAGGACAAGAGATGATTGTAGGGGAAAAATTGTCCATGTAACATATGACCCAACAAAAAATGAAATTACAACCAACTAACTTTATCATTGTATTATCCAAATGATTACAAACTCACAAGTCGCATCATAACTAGACCCATAACAATTCATCTAACTAACAAGTTAGTAAAGTAACTACAATGCATACATTGAAAGCTTGTACATTCAATGTATAAACTGAAAAAAGTTTAAGACATTGGATGTTATTTTAAATTCAAATTAAATGGAGTAATTGTATTAGTTTTTAACCTTGAGTTTTTTTAAATTATTTTTTCATATATTTTATCTTAAATATATTGGTTATTATAATTGTGCATTTAACAGATGCATGGTTTATCTTACAGACTAAATATTTATTTCAAATATGTTGCTAATTAGTCTTATGCAAACTATATAACTCTTATCAATTTGGTTATACGTTAAATTGATATTATATATACAGAATTTCATATGTATTGTGCATATTATACAAAAATAAAAAATCATTCCAGTTAAAGTTAGAGCTTTTTTCCATTTTATATAAAATTCATATATTTGTTCACTATCAATTGTTTTAATTTGAAGTACGATTAAATGAAATCTAACAGTTATTAATCTGTTAGAATCAAATCTCTCACCGAATTCAGCCCCGTTTATCTCAATTTCGAACTGCGATTGACTATGTATTTGACAGATGCATAGTTTTTTTCCATCAGATATCGAATTGAATTCACATTTATATTTTTTGTAATTTGAGATACTATTAACTAAAAACAAGAGAGATTTAACTAAACGATTAAGATCTCCCACCGAGTTCAATTTCAATTTAACTAAAAACAAGTTAGTCCGTTGGTTCTCTACTTCGATAGAGTTTGTCACTAAACCCACCTATATAATAACATCTAACAGTTTTAACCAGTTTTAACCGGTTGAAAGTTAGATCGAGAAAAGGGACACGAATTAACCAGATTGATTGGTGTGTTGACTCTTCTGGGCAATGTAAAAAACTAATGTAATTCTTGCTGTAAAAAAAATGTGGATTATCGGTATATTATCTACTGTTTTCTCCATATTGTCAAGTCATCATATTTTTATCATATTCAACAAGTTTGGAAAAACATTTCTAACAACACAAAGCCATTTGCTGTTTAAGGTACGACACATACGACTTCTACACCAACCCATATGTTGATCGATCATATGTTGATCGATCTGGAATATATTTATGCGGCAATCAGTCGGCATCTCAGCCAACAAGTTTTATCCAAACTGTAGATGGGTTGTTATCAGATATTAAATATGCGACTCCAAAAACCTCTGATTTCTATGTAGCATCCATAAGGCAAATCAGAAATGGAAATGGAAATGTGTACGGGGTTGCACAGTGTGTTGAAAATATAAGCCATGCCATTTGCCAAGACTGCATCAATGCAAGATATACCTCTGTAACTAAATGTTTGCCTAACACAGAAGGTATGTCTTTAGACATGGCCTGTTTTGCAAGGTATTCAGCGACTCCCTTCTTCAACATTAACCAGACAATTGACATCCGAAATATCTTACAAGGTTAGGCCAATTTTATTCATTTCTAATATAACTATACCTAAGAACCCATTTATCGTTTCCTTGCCGATGCACAAAGAATTTGACAGTTGACTTTTTAACTTTTGTATGATCCCATATGACAGGGCATTCAAGTAATGTAACCAAATTTGGTGGAGCAATTGGTGGAGCTGGTCTATTTATTTTTCTTGTTTTGTGGTTAATGCTTCAACTATGGAAGAAGCCCAAGAAGACAAAAGAAGGTAATAACGAAACTGTGAGCGCCTGAGAGAGGTATTTGTATACTTTTAAATGCAATATTATGCTTAGTTTCACCATACTAATAACATTTATCTATATCTATTTGGACCATGTGATACCTTTAGGTGAACCTGACCTTGACGAGGCAATTAAATACAATTATAAACATCTACAATCAGCAACAAATAATTTCAGCGAAGAGAATCTTTTAGGGAGAGGAGGTTTTGGCAAAGTGTTCAAGGTAATAAAAATGAACTTTTCGTATTGCATTTCTAATATTATTAGTAAAAAATTGTGTAGATATTACATATTTAAATGATATCACTTTGATTTTAATACCACATTTACCAACCTGGAAAGTTTTCTCTTCATGGTATAGCTTGCAAACCAAATAAAAAGATGAAAAATTAAATATTCTCCTACTTTTTATTCCTACCAATCGTCCTACCCATTTAAATGATGATATGTGTTACATTAATATACTAAAATAGCATTAAATTTGGTAGAAGGATTTGTAGGAATAAAATGTAGGATGATATTTTAATTTATCTAGAAAGATATTAGAGATCAAATCGGAGTACTGTTATTTCTTTGCTATTTCTGTTTGAAGAAATGGCACATAATATAAGTACACAAACACAAAAGTCTTAGCAAATCAAAGAATTGAAGTATTAATTGCATTCGAGATGGCTCTAAAGATCTATATATAGGGTAAGCCGGGTAAGGCTAAATTTTGGTAGGTACGACTAAAACTTTGGAAACTTGAAATTTACGATAAATTCTTGAAATTAACCATTTAACTAAACGTGGAAAAAAATTGGGAAATCACATATTCAGACATTAAAACAACGACAAAACAAAAAAATTATGGAAATAGGTGAAATTGAGGGAAACTACAAATTGGAGACCGAGGGGCAAACTCTTAATGGATTTAAAGTTATGGTTGTTTGAAGGTGAATATTTTGGTCCAGTTTGTCCTTTTTCTATTTATCCATAAACACTTCTTCCAGTTTTTCTATATGCTCTGCATCAAGTAAATGCATTAAGCATAAGTTTATAATACGACTAATTTCTTTTATATGCTTTTACTAGGCAGATCTTGATGCTAATAACATTGTCGCAGTTAAGAAAATTGAAGTAGGGTACACTAGTAAAGCAAAAGAAGAATTCGAAAACGAAGTGAAACTCATAGGTAACATACACCATCGAAATCTTCTCCGCCTCCTAGGTTGGTCAAGTGAAGGGTCCAATCTAGTTCTTGTCCTGGAATACATGTCAAATGGCAGTCTTGATGGATTCTTATGGGGTAAGTAATACTTATGTTGATTGTACATAGTTGATGACAATTATTATTCTTGAAATAGATGGTATACTGATAAATGTATTCAAAATGGAGGTGCAAAAAAAGGGACTTTGAACTGGAAACAACGATATGGCATAATATTTGGGATAGCAAGGGGTCTTCATCATTTACACAATGAATCCCATGTAAAAATCATTCATAGAGACATAAAGTCAAGCAACATTCTCTTAGATCATGATTTTCAACCAAAGATAGCAGATTTTGGGCTGGCAAGGTTTATCCCCGATGATCAAAGTCATCTTGTTAGTAGCCGGTTTGCAGGGACATTGTAAGTTGATTAACACAGTATTTGCCTTTGGTTCCAAATATATATACCGATCTAATCCACTTCTCAATCTCATATTTGCATATAACTATTTAATAAAAAAAAACTAGGGGCTACACCGCACCAGAATATGCACGTCATGGTATTTTATCAGACAAAGTTGATACTTACAGCTTTGGAATCGTGACTCTTGAAATCATCAGTGGAAGAAGGAGTACCGACATGAACTTTGATAGACCATCCATGGATTATCTCCTTGAACATGTAAGATACCACCTTAATACATTTTACCCTTCTACTCTGAAATTAGTTTCGTGAACATTAAGAAGTAAAAGAACCACGAATAAACATAGTTGCCTTTTGACTTTTAAGATCACCCCTTGAGACTATTTCACACTGAACTCTTCCACAACGTACACTCACACATAGTAAAATGATATACAAAGGTTTAGTTTTTTGTTATAAAAACTCGACATAGTTAATTTCTCAATTTTTATGGATAGGTTTATAAAAGAAACTAGACAAATCCCTGCAAATGAATATATTCATATAGAAATTGAAGTGACATAAACCAATGTCATTATTTGAAACAATATGATAAAATAGACACATATTAAAGTTAAAATTTAAAAATTATAATACTTGTAATGGTGGAAGTTATTATGTATAATAAAATCTATGTACTTTGCTTAACTTATAATATATTTTCATTTTCCTATTAGAAATAAATAAAAAAGAGGGCCAAATAGTTTTTAAAAAAATAGTTTATTAGTCTAAAAATAGAAAAACAGTTAATCTTGTAAAATATAATTATTATTTTTAACCATATTACTTAAAATTTGATAAGATATATTTGTTTTAACACTTATATAAATAAAATAAAATGATATGAATAATATTTATGGTAGTTAATTTAATATCTTATTAGTAAACAATAATGAAATATGAGGCTAGTAGGCCAATGGTCTAGCGGGAAGAAGTGACATATATCATATGAGAGGTCATAAATTTAAGTTTCGGTGGAGACATAAATGATTATCTAAGAATAGGTTAGTTAATTTGTTGTTTAAAATTTTTTTACTAATAAAATATGTTAAACCATGACATAAATAAACATTTATGAACTTCTTATAATAATAAATAAAGAATAATAAAATTTCACAAAAAAAATGAAAGCATTGAGTGGTTAGTATCTTCACTATGCAAAAATAATAATAATAAAAAAATCATTTGATGCTCACTAATAATGAAGTAACGTTAGCAAGAAGTTTGACCATTACAATGGATTATTGTTTTAATATCATAATATTTCAATTTAAAAAAAAAAAAGCTTTAACAAACTACACCTCAAAAAACAAAGTAAAAAAGTTAATTAATTGCCTTGATTTATTATTTTAAATGTGACAGCTTCTAAACCTAATACCAAGATCATTAAACCAGTACGAAAATTAAAACAGTTGACTAAGTGCATTGAAATATTATTTTAATAATAAAGCATTTTAGATTCTAAAAATTATTTAACAATAAATTATTACTATTCAAAAGACTTTGTTAACTTATGTTACTCAATTATGAAAGAATTACATAAACATTAAAGTTTAGGAAGGAAGTTGATTTGGTTTAATATTTTCATATTTACATTTTAAATTTATAAACTAAACTAATATGAATGATGTTTGTTGTAAAGAAAAGGAAAGTTAACCACACACCAGTTAACATATACCTTGTGAAACTTTTTTTCTAGACTTATTGTAGGCCTGTCAAATCGGGTCATCGTGTCGTGTTTTTGTCTGACACGACACGACACGACAATGTTTTTTGTAACACGAACACGACACGACACGATGTCGTGTTTTTTCACTAACACGAAACGAACCAATTAAAAAAACGTCAACACACCGACACGACACGACAAAGAATAATCTTATAACTATTATTTTATTTAATTCATATTTAATCATATAATACACATAAAAACACGACAAACACGGAAAACCATGCTCAGTCGTGTCAATTTCGTGTGTATTTGTAAACACGACACGACACGACACGACATCGTGTTTTTTATACTTGACACGAACACGACACGAAAACGAATTCGAATTTTGATTTCGTCCCGATTCCGTTTCGTGTCGTGTATTTTTGTCGTGTCGTGTCATAATTTGACACCCCTAACTTATTGGTAGTGAGAACTATATATATATATATAGATATATATTATATATTATATATATATATATATATATAATATAGATATATATATATAGTATATATAATTAGATTATAATATTTGCTTCTTTGTTTCAAATGAATATGATTAGGCCTGTAAACTATCCGAACGAATACGAAGAAAGCCTTGTGTAAGTTCGTTTGTTTAAGTTAGCCGAACAAATGAACGAACACGAACGAATAAACGAACAAGTTTTCTTTTTCATATTCATTTGTTTAACAAATTACCTTCTTCATGTTGGTTTGTTTATGTTCATTAACATGGTAAACGAACATAAACGAACAATGATATACAAACAAAATTGAACATATATAAACATAAAAACATATAATATAGTAATATAATACAAAAGAATTGAACATATATGAATATACATAAACTTAAACGAACAAACATAAACAAACTTAAACGAACAACATAAACGCATGTTCACAAACATAAAAAAACGAAAGAGACTATTAATTGTTCATGTTTGATCATTTAACTAAACGAACGAGAATTTGTGTTCATGTTCGTTCATTTATTAATTAAATGAACATAAATGAACTTCCCGCCGAACAGTTCACGAACGGTTTGTCGAATGTTCTGTTCATTTACAGCGCTATATATGCTGCAAGAATATACCATATCTTAAATCATATTCATTTGAATAACCTTTCTATAAAATTTATAAAGATTTTATCATTAAATCATTCAATTAATTAGATGCCTCTTAAAAAATTATCGAGAAAAACCAAAAAAGGAAAATATACCTTTTGTAGTCCTTATCAAAACTTTATCGAGGGTCAAAAATCATATTGTTGTTCAATTAGTCAAAATAGGAAGATTAAATTTGAAATTGTTCATTTTAAACGGTCATAAAAAATATCAATTGTGCAATTAACTACATTTTCGATAAATTATTAATTTATTAAATGAGTTCTAAAATACAAATTAATTTTTCTAAAAATAATAGGCTTTGGACTAACATATTAAAAAGACATTGAAAAATGAACTCTAACATGTATAAAAATATTCAACACTTAAAAGACTCAAGATCTCCTGAAAAATATCATTTATTAAAACTACAAACCAAAAGCCATAGGTATGGTACACATATAGAAATTTTTTTCTAGATTAACTGAAATGATTAAGATATATAAACAGTCACGAAACAGTAATTTAGAAACAATAAATCATGTTTTCTCAATCATAACCAAAACAACTTTTTAATATGAATTTCTCTAAAATAGAATATTACATTGATTTTAATTACTTAAAAGATATTGAATATTATAAAGAATATAATGATTAAAAAAGAGCTTGGCATAACGAGAATTTTTCATATTACATAAAATTTCTACATTTAGGATTTTGGGAGGATTATGTTTTGTTAACAAAGATTCATTCTTCGTTTTCAATGATTTGAATTAGTTTATGCCCCTAAACATAATATAAGTTATCCATTTAAAAATAATATTATCACTCATGTTTTAAATAGAAAATATAAAGATAAAATTACATTATATTAAAAAATTTAATAAAAAATATATTCCTTCAAAATCTAGGGTCATTCATATGAATAATGAATTAGAAATTCATTGCAAAAAGAGATTCAAGACTTATTCGAAAAAAAACTTATAAGACCTTCTAAATCACCATGGTCCTGCTCAACTTTTTGTGTCATGAATGTGACCGAATTAGAAAGATGATCACCAAGATTGGTTATCAAAAAGAAACCCTTAAAGAAAACTTTAGAATGGATTCGTTATCATATTCCTAATAAACGAGATTTGTTAAAAAAAAAACTTTATGATTCAAAAATATTTTCAAATTTGATATGAAATCCGAATTTTTTTCATTGGGAATATTAGAACAAACGTTTTTCCCAAATTTTGATTTTAAAGCTGTTACTCTATATTGAACATGATTTTCTTTTAAATGATTAATTATACGAACATTTATTTCGTTTATAAGATAAATGGCCAGTTTTGATTTAGAATTGAGGACATTAATAGTTAAATACGGAGGGGTTCACAAAATTTGAAAATGATTTTTTTTCCAAAAATATTAGTTCTAATTCCATTATCATATCATGGACCGGAAAATGATATAATTTTGTAATAAAAGGTGTTCCTAAGATTAAGGGAGAAGAGATCTTTTTACTAAAATTAGATGAGTTTTATAACAATAGACTTGATCATTACAAATATGAACATCAGAAACTTTATAATTTACAATTAATTTTGTACCTCTAGCACCAGATAATCTTGATGTGGTTTTTTTCTTCTTCTAAAATTGAGTAGGAAATATTCCATCTTGAATACAATTCATATCAGCATCACTATCAATCAAAATTGTTATACTAATTTTAAAACTGTCTTTTACTAAAGTAATTTGAATATTCAATTTTTGAGAAACTTAATCATTTATTATTTTATCAATAGTAACATTTTCAATTTTATTTTCTTATTCTTCTTTAATTTCTATATTTTTATGTTTAGTAGTAGAAGATTTTACTTTTTCTATAATAAGAAGTCTATTTTTATTTATTTTATTTCTTGTTTTACTATTTTTAATTCTTCTCGGAGTTCTTGCATAGAAATTGGTTTCGTTTCATAAAATCTTTCATATATATTTTTTAGATTAAAATTTTCATTATTAAGCATTTCTTTTATTAGTAATTCTTGAACATTCTTATCTTTTATATAATCCATAATTTTTAAAAGATCTTTATCATATTGTGAAAGGACATTAATTAAATTATTGGTAATAGCATTAATTGAATTATTACAAAGACATTTATCATAATATTCTGAACTAGAAATAGTATGTTCAAGAATATTCAAATCATTTGTTTGAAAATCAAAAATACTTTCATCAGAGTCCGAATCAGTATTTAAAATAATCTTTTTTATTTGTTCTTTTAATTCTTCAAAAAAGTTTAATTCATTAATTTTTGTCTTAGCATAATAATTATTTCGTTTTCTTGAAATATTTTGAAGATTTTTTATTATACCCTTTAGATTTTGAGGTAGATGGACCAACTAAGGGTTGATAACTATATTATTGATAAAATTTTCCTAATTTATTTTTACTATTGGTTCTATCTTTTTTTGAGTTTTTATTTAAACGTAAGATCAAAGCAAACTACTAATCCATCTTTATTAATGTAATTTATCAAGTCTCCATAAGTTAAATTTTGATAAGGAATCGTATTGTTAAAAATTTCTCGTAATTTTTTTCTAACTCTTGCAGCACAAAGTTTTGGAAGACCGATAATAAAACGTTCTTTTCAATAAAACTCTTTACAATCAGGTTTTGAAAAAACTTTAACAAGATAATTATCTTTATAGCATCTAAATACAATAAGTTTTCTGCAGTGTAAATTCATTAAAATTTCTGAGGTTTTTTCATGAAAAGGAATAGGATCACCTACAAAGTTTTTGATAATAATAAAAATTAAAGTGTTGACCATATCATCTTCTAATGTTTGTATTTGTTGATTATTTTCTTGTTTTATAAAGGTTTTCTTAGCAGGTAGAATATAATATTACAAACAATATAATGATAAAAAGAGCTTGGCATAACGAGAATTTTTCATATTACATAAGATTTCTACATTTAGGAGTTTCGGAAGATTATGTTTTGTCAAACAACATTCATTGTCTAACAATTATTTTTTCTGGTTTTCCCCCAAAAGAGAAATTGTTATTGATGACATGTTTATTGTCACTGCTTTGGTTCAAGCCCCAAATCAGTTAACTACTGAAAAGGGTCTTGAAAATATTATTTACGAAAATAATTATTCCAACAAAACTTTGTCTAGTATTACTGAGCATCTGGTTAGAATTGAAGAAAAGAATATTGAAACAATGAGAATAAATAAAACAATAAAGAATATAGAATCACAATTATCGAAGATAAAAGAAAATGAAAGCAAAGATAAAGATTAATATATATATATATATATATATATATATATATATATATATATCTATATATATATATATATATATATAGGGCTAGGTTATAATGTGGATGGCCAACTATTGTACGAATGTATGGACAGTGCTATTCTATGAGAATTACTAAGAGAATAAGTTGTTTAATAATTCGAATACGTTCAACCTCACACAAATATCGTCATTTTCATGCATTTTCACTAATTCTTATTCATTTTTGTTCTCACACATCGTTTTTTCAGTCATTTTTATTCTTACAGAATACGACTCAATAAACATTCTGACAACATTCTGACAGAATGAGAATAATAATAAAAAGTCTATAATAAACTTATAGACAATTTAATTAGTGAGAATGTGTGATAATAATAATAGTTATGTAATATTGCACGTAATTATATTATCAAACAACATATTTTCTTTGTCATTCTTACAGAATAGCACTGTCCACACGTCCACACAATAGATGTCAATCCATATTTGAACCTAGCTTTGTATATATATATATATATATATATATCTATATATATTATATATATATATATATATATATATATATAAGAGAGAGAGAGAGAGAGTGAAAGAGAGAGAGAGTGAGAGAGAGAGAGAGAGTGAGAAAGAGAGAGAAATAGTTTAGATCTGGTAGGAACCTAAATAATAGTACGAACTACTAGCATAATTCTTGAACGCACATTTCATTAAAGGCAAGAACGTGAAACGCCATCCTTGGAAGTGATTCAATCACATGTGACACACTTCATGGAACGTAATACGGACTCGAGGATATGATCACGTGCGTTTATCGTCTATAGAACGTCGTTTAAGTGAGTTTTTCTTCTCTTTTGTTTTTTTTACCTTTTTAAATAAACTAAACTCGATATTTAGTTTTTCTTATTTGTATTTATTTTTATTTTTTATTTTTTTTAAAAAAACTTTATTAATGTTTTGCATTCCATGTGTAGTGTTTCTTTGTGTTTTGGATTATAACATTTTTTATTATTTGATCAATAACATTTTGAATCATAATAAATTATGATCATTATAATTTAAAAAAGAAAATGATTTAGATCATATTAATTTAGAGCATACCATTTTGTATCATATAATCTTGCATCATAAATATTTTGGATGATATAATTTTAGATTACAACATTTTCATCTAAAACAATCTTTTATATCATAAATAGTTTGTATTAGATAATAACAAATTTTAGATCATAACATTTTTTTAATCACGTCATACCATTTTTTGATCATAATATTTTTAGATGATAAAAAGTTAAATAGGGTTTATGTTAGAGATCTGGATACCCCTTGGATTGTGTGAACACTTTCGAAACTAATATTTCTACCCTATGTCTGGGTTGCAAGAAATTCAGCGTAAGATAATCCAAGAGGACACTTACGAATCTAGACATAGAATCGCAAGCCAAATTGCTAGAAGGATTCTATATTCGTTTGAAGAAGAAGAGAGCTAATGATTTAAAAAAGAAATTCTATATTCGTTTGGCCGTCATGGGTTGCTTTGGAAGCAATGTAGGAAATTCGGAATTTAATGAGGATTTAGGGTTTCTAAAACTAACGAGTTTCGTTAGTTTTACCATAATTACCCTCAAGAATTTGAATTTCCCACAATGTTCCTATATGTAAAATTCGGAGACCTTTTGTGGTGTTGCCCCAAACTCCGCAGCACCCTAGCCAGCGGCTCTGCCCCTTAGACCCCACTAGGGGCGTTACCCCTAGACACCTAGTTATTGATTATACTTTTTGAATATTTGTATATGTTTCTTTTTTTTGGAAGACAATTACATTTCTAAGTTTGGTCATAAAACTGTGTGTAAATATTTGATGAACAGGCTTGGACTTTGTATGAGAATAAAGAGCATATTAAGCTCATTGATGAGACATTGGATGTGAGCCATTACCAAAAAGAACATATGATGCACATAATTGAGATTGCTTTGGTCTGCACTCAATCACCAAGTTCAGAACGACCGAACATTTCAGAAGTTATTCTGATGCTGACAAATAACCGATCAGTGCTGAATAGGCAACTAAGAAGACCTACTCTTGTTGATTATGACAGGAGGATTCGTATAGGCTCTTGAAATAAGTATATGAATGCCAAAGGAATTAGAGGAAAATGAGCATATGCTTTGTATTTAACTATATGACAAAGTAGACATCATGGATAAGAGGAGTAACGTTGCAACGGCTTGCTAATTTTTCATCAGAAGGTCCTTAATTACTATTTATCATAGTTTGTTTGGTGTGTTGCATATATGCTTTTGTCACTGGAACACTAGAAGCTTTCATTTGTTTTATTTTCTAAATCACGTGTTAGGAATAAACAAGAATAAATCACACATACAAATACACAATATTAAATGTCATTAGGTCAATGTGACATAAGGAGGGATTGTACTTATATTTACAAGATTGAAAACGATAGTACAATTGAAACTCTATCTATCAACCATATTATATATGCAAAGTATAAAACGTAACCCTAACTAAACGGGTCGGGCCCAGCTACAGAGATCAACGTAGGTCCATATCCAAAAACTTATCCCGTTGATATCAGGTGTTTGGTTTCTTTACTGAGCACGGATGGATCGATATCCATTCGGGTTGACAGTTCTCTAGTCACATTTAACAATCTCAACTCTAATACAAAAATGGTTTTGGGTGATGGTTTTCATATTATTCTTCACTAAATGTCATAAACTAATTTTCATGATTAGTTTACTCAACATGCGTGACCATTGGAAATCTGAATTCACATATTAGCTATGGATTTACATAAGAATTGTGACAAGTATTGTCGCGGTCGAAAATTGTGGTCAAATGTCATCATTTATAATGTTTTTTTCTTTGATATGTACATTTACCTTGACCAAGTTATTAAGTGAAACGTAAAGACATAAAAAGTAACGAATTATAATTTTAAGTGACCAAATCTTATATCGGAATTAGTCACATAAAAAAATCATGGCGAATATGAAAGGTATCTAGTGAAAGAAATATATTTGAATGACAAAAGGGTTATGGTCATGGTTTAATGTTCCATTTATGACTAGAAGTAAATAATAGTCATAAAAAATATAAATTATAATTTGTCACTACAAATTGTAAAATTTGTAGTGTTACTATAAAATGTGTGGTGACGATCGAATTTCTTATCTGTAAGTAAATGTAAACAACATTCATGATAAAAGATTAAACATGTGACTAAATATAAAAAATAAGCATGATAAACGATTAACTTGTTTTGTCTGTGTATATGATACATAATAGTCATATTGTAACACCCGTGTTCCTAGGTATTTTCATATATGGCTTAAAGTATAAAATATTTGCAATTTTGGCCCTTACGCTAGGTGTACTTGAGGCGTACGCAGGGCGTAAATAAATAAAAGGGACGCATGGACTTCTTGGAGTACGCTGGACGTACATGATGTACGTAGGGCGTACTCACGATTATCCTAAAACCCTAAATTTTAGGGTCCATCCCCTATTTAAGGACCTTAAGTCCCTTGAGGCCTCTTCATGTTCAGCATCCACTCTCCCTAAATATTATTTCGAAACCCTAATCCTTGGTTAACTTGTGTGAGCCTTTTTGTGTGCTCTTGGTGAATAGTGAAGAAGTATAAGTATTTTTTTGAGGATTGGTACGGCTAAAGCATGAAGATCCAGGCTTTCATCTCTTTTGCAAACTTCTGGAGGTATAAAGTTCCCACCTTTATGGTTCCATGGCTTGGATCTAGGATAGTTTAGAGTTTTACATTATTTTAGTCCCATGGTTTTAGTTCATGTGAATAAAAGCTACTCTAGAGCTTAAGGTTGCTGTTTTATGTTGTTTATGATATTCATATGTCATAAAAATGATGTCTTTGTGGCTATCTTTCACCCACACAAGGGTTTGAAAGGGTGATTTGGATCTAGGGCTTGATTTTATGCTCCATCAAGCCATGCAAAATCTTAAAGTCGACGACTTTATCGGTTAAGAAGAGTTTGGCAATTTCTCAGTTACGCAGGGTGTAACCCCTGAGTGTGTAGCGCGTAACGAGACTGTTCCCCGTCTCTTTCTTTGGAAACTCGGTACACATGGTGTAACACCCCGATTAAAATAAGATAATTAAATACTAAACCCGGAACCCCGAGAAGTAATTATTATTATTATTTTATATTATTATGATCCAAAACCGAATAATAATTAGTTGGGAGTTGGTTTCGGGAAACCAAATGTCAAGATTGGAATCTTCGGGGGTTAAAGTGTAATTTTGGGACCTAATTGTAAAGAATTCATTGAAACAAGGCCTAAGAGTAACTTTTGGACCTAACTTGAAAAGAATTTGTCAGGCAGGGACTGCATGGTAATTTTGGGGACTTAAACTGAAAAGATTTCTTATGGAGAGGGTTTAAAAGTGTAATATGTGCAAATGGTTGAAGATGAATTCGGGTGAGTCCCGTCACCCTCATTAAGCTTCCTGTATATATTCATCATAACCCACCAAACCCTAGACCTAACCCTAATTTCATAAACCATCCGCCAACCCCACTCTTCCCTCTGGTCGGCGCCGCCACTATGCCACCACGGGTGCCGCCGAAGAAGCTGTGAACGCCGAAGATGAAGCCACCGCCGGACGCCCTTCCCCGTCGCTGTTGCTACTGTCGTTCGCTTCACCCTTCCTTCTCCACCATTTCAGTGACGTCTCAGCCATGAATCGCCGCCGCTACTGCCTGTGATCTCATGGCCGGCCGTGAGTGAACCACCGAAGGCCACTTCGGAGCTGTGAATACCGACGCGTGCGTCATGATCAACTGAAGTCGCCGCCACCTCTTTCCACCTTCGCATTGTGCCGCTGCCTCCACCCTTGCAGCTGTTTCCCTCCGGCGAGATCGAGTGGCTGCCGGGAACACCCGCTGCCACCCTCTTCTTCTTTTCCATTCGTTAACCACTGTTGTTGTGCGTGTTCTGAGTCTACATGTGTTCGAGTTGCTGCTCCCGGAGGAAAAGCCAAGGAAAAACCACCATGGCCGCCGGCCATGGTGGCTGCTGCCTCAAGGACCGCCATGGAGGGTGTGTATGCTTCTATAGGGTGTTATTTTTTTGTGTGTGTTTATTAGTGTTAGTATGTGTGTTCAGGTGGCGGTATGCTTTGTTTGCGTTTGGACCTCGTTTGGGGGATGTTTGGACAATGTGGGACCAATGAAACCCTAGTGGGCCCAATGGAACCCTAAGGGGGTCAATAAGGCCCAATGTGACCTAAAAGCGCAACAAATGGACTAATGGGCTAGTATTGGGTTGGAAAACATAATTAGGGTTTGGAAAACCCTAAGAGCATAAAACCCTAAATGTGGGAATTGTTTGGGACACACACGAGAATTAATTATTAAACCTAAAATAATAATTAATAATCATTGGCAAACTAACTTAAGGCAAGAATGGACTTAATGGATTAGCTCCTTAATGGGTTAAGTAAGAAACACTCAACCCTAATCATCATTTCATGAGAACACCCTAATTTTGGGATTATGGGCTTGGACTATCGGGACCCATATTTGGGCCATTGGAATGGAATTGTGCATTAAGCCCATCACACCATATGACTTATTTAGTAAAGTGATGGACTTAATGGATTAACTCCTTAATGGGTTAAGTGAGAATCATAAAACCTCAATTGTCATTTTATGTGAAACCCTAATTTCACTTAGACTTTGTGTTGGGCCTTTCTATCGGGCTTTGGCGATTAGACTATTAATGGGCTTTCCAAGAATAAGAAAATAAACTAAATAATTATATGGGTTTTAGGACAAGGCCCATGTGAGAGTCTTGGGCCCTATTTGGAAAATTGGGCCATACTGGGGCCTTTATGATTACGCAATATTGGACCATGGGAATACCAATAGTTTGGACTAGAATAATTGAACGGGCCTTAAGGAAAGACCATGTAGAGGTCTGAGCCCAATTTGGAAAATTAGGCCACATGTTGGGCTTTGGCCCATTAGTTGACTTTTGGGCCTTTGGAGTGTGAGTTGGACCTTGGTCTTGGAACCCAATTATTAATTAGGTATTGTTTGATGTTGAAAGCTTGGGAACCTGTCAACCAGCACCTGGAGTTTTGTCTGCGGGACTTCAACATGTTGGTTGTGGGCCGTGAGTATTCCATCCCGAGGATGATTGGACTCATAGTATGTGGGCATTCCAACCTGTTGGTTGTGGGCCTGGGGTATTCCATCCCGATGATGATTGGACCCATAGTATGTTGGCATTCCAACCGGATGGTTGAGGGCCTGGGGTATTCCAACCCGATGGTTGACTGGACCCATAGTATGATGTTTATGATAATGTCTGTATTGTTCTGGGTATGGATATATTGGGGGAACTCACTAAGCTTTCGGGCTTACAGTTTCAGTTTATTATTTCAGGTACATCAGGGGATCGTGGCAATTCAAAGGCGTGATCCTACAGCTCCTCACTTTTTATGACTTTGCTTCTGGGATACTCTGATATGATACATTTTGAAAACAAGTTTTGTAATGGTTAGTGGTTTTGGAAATGTTTTAAAATTTTTAAATTGGCTTGAATTTTTGGGATGTTACAAGTTCGTATCAAAGCCTTGGTTTGAGTGAATTGGAGGAACATTCGTGTGAATCCAGTCTCAAATCAAGTAAAGTTTTCAAAATAGTTTTTTTTTAAATGGTTTTCAAAATAAGTAAAAGAGGATGCGAAGTGTATGATCAGCCAGAGCCAGTAAGTAGACTCCAAAATACCATACAGTTAGTTGATATTGTGATATGTTAGAACAACATGCTAGTGCTAGGCTAGGGATCTTCAGGAATTGCATGATAGAATTGTCTGATTACATGATGCCTGCTAGCCTAGGGTTTCCTTTATATGAGATTGGCATCATTACTGTAGTGGCTTAGTGTATGCATCACGGTTATACATAATTAAGATCTTATAGCCTGGGAATGTTTGATTTGGCCTTATGTTCTGTTATTGTTTGATTGGGAGCTTAGGGTAGGGTTGGATATTCCAAAGTCTATGGGGTCCAGTGTTATGTATGGCTAGCATACACTGGTACTGCAGGGTTGGTGGAAGTTTTATAGGTGGGTGGGTTGTGTGAGGCCGGTAGATCAGTTGTGATACAGTTAGCCTCCCTCTAGGAGTGAGGATTGGTCGACCACCATGATTATGTATATTGTTAGGGCGTTATGATGATACTTGAGACAAATATGGGTAGGTGTGGAAGGTAGTATGGTCCCGTACTACTAAAAGCACAGGACCCATACGCGTAGCAAGGAAGTGACAACCCCTAGGATTTGGTTGAGAGTTGGTTCCCTGTCATTTATATGGGCTATTAGAGATCTTTCTGGTGTATTATCAGAATGTTGGTTGCGATACGTCATGAGACCGGATCCGGATCAGGATTGGGAGATGGCAGCCAGGATATGCCAGTATTTTCAGAGGATCGTGTCAGTGAGATCATCCGAGTGGAGGTGACCAAGGATGTCCAAGGATAGTTGCCAGAGATGTTTGGGTCTATCAAGACTGCCACGGTTGAGTATTTTTATGAGCGCTATGCAGCCATTGCCAAGACGGTTTCCGCGGCAGCTATAACAGCTGTAACGATGGCGGGGGAAGGAGCTAGTCAAGCTCGCTAGTGCTGGGACATGTTTTGATGGGGAGAGGGCTGCAGTTACTTGGGATCATGGAGATGTTCCATACTCGTTACATTCCGCGGGTTGAGCAGGAGAGTCTAGCATATGAGTTTTTAGATTGAGGCATCGGGGGTTTTGCTCGAGGCCGGAATGTGAGTCGCGAGGACTCCGAAAAGGAGTGATGATTATGTTCATCTGGGGTTTTGCAGCTGGAAGTAGAATGGATAATTGATGGATTGGAATGTCGTTTTAAAGGGCAAGGATTGTGCCCTTTCTGTTTTCGAGCTCAAAGGAGTGAGCAGGCTTGTGACCCTAGGATCAGGTTGTATTTCAGCTCGGGGTCAATTGGTCGTCGGGATTGGCGACAGTAGTTCAGCGCTGGTGAGCGCGGGTGGGTCAAGGTGACATAAGTATCTTGTGAGATCCGATTCGCCTTGGATCTCTTGCATCAGACGGTAAGGATTGATTGTACGATCTATTGCACTTTCGGGATTAGAGACTATGTCTTGGGATTAGTTTGTAGCCCGGTATAGGGAAGAGGTTGCTTCAACTACTGCAGTTCAGCTGTGGATGACTGTGCTGGTGAGCAAGTCAGGGAGCGAGACCCTGAATGATATGATTTCTAGAGCCGAGAGCGGGAGATTTGTTGGAGCACTTTGGGAAGAAGGGTATTATATGCGAAGTATGCGGACAGGGTCCCACATGATGGTTATTCAGCATTATCAGGACTGTTCGTTTCACTGGGATTCAGGAAGTGTTCATCTAGTTATTAAAAGCATGCGATCATATTGGGTTGGCTAGTAAAGGAGTACTAGTTGGAAAGGTCTGGTTGTCATCAGATCAATAGTTGGAAAGTGAGAAGGACTGGAAAAATTTTCAAATTTTCATGTATTCTGAAGACTTAGTTGAAACTAAGTAGGGGAGAATCGTCTTGGAATGCAGAAACATGATTGGTTTTGAAATGGGATAAGTTTCGCATCGTTATCAAGAAGGAGGACAACCTAAGTGGCTGTTTGGTTTGAGGCTTGTGTGAGTTGGGAGTTCGATAAAACTCCCCAACATGGGAATCGCGTCTTCTCGGTGCTGGATAACAGAATTTGGGGAATCAGGTTGGGATTCTAGCCATGAATTAAGTTCAGTTGTGTGTTAGGTCAAGTGTGTGTCGACCGGTATGGAAAGTGTTGTAAGACTGCAGGGGTAGCCGTAGCATTCACTAGCGATCAGGTAGTATGGAAAGTGTTGTAAGAGTATGGGGTTAGCCGTAGCATTCACTAGCGATCAGGTAGTATGGGAAGTGTTTTAAGTCTGCAGGTGTAGCTATAACATTCACCAGGTTGGCAGATAGTGTGATAAGTGTTGTAAGACTGCGGATGTCGCTGTAGCATTCACCAGGTTAGCAGATAGTGCTAGAGCGATGCAAGTCTGTGGGTGTAGCCGCAGCATTCACTGGGTTGGTATGTAGCATGAGCACATTGTTAGGACATGGAAGGGACAATAGTAACCACCAGTTCGGGTGTAGCAGTGAGGACATGAAAATTCACGGATGGGTTTATGGGTTTTCCCAGAGGGATTAGACCTGATTAAGCCGGTGGTAAGACTGTAGGGACGTCACTACAATGATGAGATCAAGAAAGCAATGGATTGCTTAAGGTTGCTTGTGATGTAAGGCTACCATTGGTCATGTAGCAATTGCTTTTAGCCGTGGATTTGGTAACGACGGGATACGACGCATGGATCCGATCGGTTGGATCAGGAGGTTGTTAGAGTCGTAGTGGCATGATAACTAGTGGCAACTAGTTCCAGGGAAGGATTTCGTTCGGAATTCGTGTGAGGTAACTATGTGGGAGAGCTTTAGCTCCGCGACCGAGCCGGAACCCAATATTCCAGATGAGTGTTACTCGGTTGTGGCGAATCAGAGGATTTTTGGATGAGATGCAAGGATAGGTCCTTGGATTTCAAGTTATGGGTTAGACGTGAGTTATGTATATAGTGGTATTCCAATCTAGGTTATTCCATCGTGAGGATGACCGGACCCTACGATAGAATGGACCTGACGTGTTTGGTATTGGTTGATTGGACCAAACATGTGTGTGATACGAGGGTATTCCATCCTATGGATGACTGGACCCGTCGTAGGCATGCCTGGTATTCCAGCCCGAGGCTGATTGGGCCAGGTATGAGTGTTTGTGCTTATGAGCCGGTTATTATACGTATGTGGTTCGGGAACTAAAGGAAACATTGTCTTGACAAACCTAAAAGGGTTCATCTCCCAGTTTCCATCCC